CCTCCAGAGTGCATGCAGCTCCCACCTGAGGAGGACTGTTTGCTGACATTGATATAGATGAGGCTGTGAATTTGTATCCTAATTTCTTCTTCACGGTTAAGGTCTGCTGCAAAGAAAATGTAATTCAGAGAGCAGTTCTGTATAACTGCTGACAGAAAGCATGGCTGATATACCAAGGATTTAGGGGTTTTTCCTAAATTTGATAGAATTATTATGGGTGTTTAAAGTGCCAACCAGAATGCATCAGGTGGGCTTTTAGACTTCAGTCGGTATTAGGATCCTCCAAGCTTGAAACAAATTTTTTAAATGGGAGTTTTTTCATCATTGTTGATACTCTGCCAGACAGATCTAATTATTACCCCTCTATTTCTCACCTATACGAGTTTTTGCACATATTAATAAGCCTCACAGTTTACTCCAATTACATCTTCATCTCCGTCTGTCTTGTGCTGGATGATTTTCTACTCTGCGTGTTTGTGTTACAATAGACTTCATTTAGTTGTTGAATGCCTTTCTTGCCTTGATTCCTACCACTGAATTCAACACCTTCATAAGCCTGAGCTTCTCGTCACCTGCTTCAGCTCCGCAGACACAAGGCCCACAGGCTGTCATTCTACCATCAAGCCCAGATGGCCCATGTTAGAAGCATCCCAGTAGCAACAGGATTTATCTGCTTCACCCTTCATAGTACCAACATTAGAAAAATCACAGTATCAAGGTAGCATTAAACCATCAGGAATAAGCCCCACAAGAGTTTCAGGAGGTAGGCAGTGGATGTCTAAATAAGAGGAAAGCGGGGACTATGGAAAGCCTTGAATTCCAAGAAGCACTGTATTTCTTGCACAGGCATCTTGCACAAACACTGACGACAATTGCAGTTGAAACAGCACAAAAAACGGAGCCTGTACGGAGAGCTCACAAAAGTAGGAAAATACAGGCACAAGTCTTATTAACACTTTCAGGAGAATAAGAAGCATTCATAATACTGCAGCTGAAACCATTCTCACTGTTCTTCAATATCTGATAAGTCCGTTACGTGATCCCAAACAGAATGGCAATGTGAAAAAGAACAATGGAGGAAAAAAGGAAAGCATGGAAATCTTGGCTTGAGAACAGAAAACTGGCTCGTCTGTTTGTCTGTTTGATGGTTGGACCAATATGAAAACACTCATGTTTATTTGACTAAGAATTAAATATTTTTACCTTTTCTTCTTGAAATAGAAAATAAACCTCACACCATGTTTATATGTTGAATTTTAAATTGAATGCTAAAGTATTTACATCAAACGAAAACAAACACATTAATGACTAGCTTTTGAAAAGATCCAAAACACCATGTCTTTCAGAGAAAGTCTTTACCAATAAATTTAACTTCCCCATTTTGACCAGTAATTCAGAGGAAGGGAATTTGGGTGTCCTGTGCCTGGCAGTTTTCTCAGAGAAGACATTTTATGTGTAGCTCCTGCCTATTCTGCTGCTAAGCAGTGTTGAGGAAGGCTGCTAACAGTCTGTTTCATTTGAAGCAGTTCCAGCCATTAAAAGACACAAATCTTAGGTTTCACAAAACAAAGTCGATGTCTAGTCTGTTGCTCAAAACAGCCTCCTTGGAGAAAAAAAAAAAAATGCACTCCAATTCATTCTGCTTCTGATTCAGATAAGGATTTGAGCCTAGATCCTATAATACCATGAGGGCTATCCTCACTGCCAGGATAGAGAGACAATGATAATTTCAAGTCCTGAAATAAAGCAGAGCATCACAAGGAGATTACCCTCCTTGAAATAGGCTTTCTACTAGTAGGATCATGATTTCAGAAAAATTCCACGGTTTCATTACCTGGAGAAGGGCATACATATCATGCTATATGGATATCTTAGCAAAAAGACTATTAAATAAGAAGCATGACCACTATTTTTTTCCCCCCTGACTGAAACTATTTGCATTTTTTTTCTGAATTCACTAATAATTCATAAAAACTGTCATAGAGCATTTTAATAAATAAATGATTTATTAAAAAAGACTAGCTTCACTAAAAACTGCTGATTCCATATCTAACTTTCATTGTCCCAGCCCCTACTTAAGAACAGCTTTTGTCTGTAGAAGATGTGATTCCAGCTTCTTTGCTATTTTTTTTACAAAAAAAGACTGGGGGTGGAGAGGGGAAGCCTTGGAAAAGAGATTTCCAGATATACCCTATCTACATGACAGCATCAGTCTGGGTCCACGCATGTGCACAGGGGGAGGTGTGATGCTGTGACCACCGGGACATGCTCTTCTGCTGCAGTGTGTGTGCGACAGCCAGGACAGCGCTTTCCCTAGAGAAACCCAGATGCAGCCGAACTGCCAGAAGAAAGATGAAATCTGAGCAGCCATTAGCACAGCATGCATAAACATGCTTAAGCTAAAAAACACTGAAGAAATGAAAACAAATCAATCTGACAGACAGATAGGTTGGTCAACTTTATATGCTACAGAAACCATGACAAAACTAGTAAGGATACCCAGGCAGTTGGCAACAGTGCAGGGGGTGTAAGAAACAACTGTATTGGGAAAGGTTTCAGATTCTTCACAGTATAGAGTTGTTTGAAACAACACTGACAGAGCAAGCACAGGGCTCAGAAGCAGTATAACCTCTAATGGGGAAGAAGGTATATCAGCTAAGGCAGAATGTTATGTAAATGATGCATATTGCTTCATATGCTTGACTTGAAGTGGTTAGTACTACACCTGAGTATCATCACACAGACAGTGTGATGCCTTTCAGAGCTTTACTTTATGTTTAAATGGGTAAGAAATTATGGGGGGAAAAAATCAGTTATGGAGGACACTTTCAGTCAAGAGGAGGATGTTATCTTGCTGACTTCAACAATGCCAAAGATTCTTTGCCACACATGGCAGAAGTGGGATATTAGCTGTTCGACAACCAATACAGCAGTTTATGTGTTACAGTAATATGATTCCAGATAGATGATGAAACTAGCTGCAGTATAGAATCAGCAAATAGTTTTTCTAAGCTGAATAAATGACAGCAAGTGTTTGTGGCAAACATTGGAAACCATTTGACTGTAGCAAGGCTGAATGAAAATCCCTTCAGTGACACAGGATATGTGTTGGACTTAGCAATTACAACATGAAAATTGGTTTTCTAGTTGGCTTCCAAATTTTTACCTCTTACTGTTTGTGTTTCTTCCTTCGAGTGTCATACAAGCTGGTGTGGTCACTGGTGTCTGCAGATGTTTGTTATAGTGGTGGTTTTCATTAAAAATGTTGAAGAAGGTGGTGGTGGAAAACTGCTTGGAATATTGATAAAGAAGCAAAAAATGCCAGAGAAGAGTATGGAGCAGGGACATTCATGCATATGGCTGAATTTTTAACTATGCTGGCAACATCTATAAAGGACTTTTCTTCCTGCAGAGCCAGCTACATTATAAAACCACACAGTCGTTTGATAGACCTAACGTCCAGCCTCCAATCAAGCTGGTAGATGTGTCAGAAATGTCTGGGTATTTCTCAGTTCTTGAGCTTCTCACTTTGCTTTAATGCTTTTCTTTACAGATCAACTGTCCATACCTTGGACTGAGGTAATAACACATCTGTGTTAATGACCATAACTTCAAAATTATCTCATACATAATATGCATTTCTGGGAAAGCGCTAGGTGTTTGTGGTTTCGTTAGTGATTGACCACAACTGCATTGTGCTTCTTTGTTCTCTATTTATGCTTGTAAATATCTTTGTTTCTATACTTGATACCCAGTTCAAAACTGTTTGCATCGTGCTCTGACAATTAAGTGAAACAAATTTCAGCTTTATGAAAGCAACTGTGGGTCTGTTCCTCCCTCCTTGCAGTGGAGGAGACTGCATTTTTTTTTTTTTTTCTGAACGAGGAAATATCAGTGGGGAGTCTTAGACCAATCTTGGATTAGGAAGAATTAACATCAGACTTTCAAGCATAGTTATGTTTTTTACATTGTTTTAGGGATCGTCTTCACAGGGAAAAGGACACTGTGTTTTTCATTTGCCTTCATAGTCTTCTGGCATAACAAATGGATTGAATGAGGTGTGGCAGAGAGCCTACATTGTTTAGTTCCACACAATAATACAATTTAGGCCTGCTATTGTAATCTGAGGGGAAATTTCACCAACTTTCCCGGAATGTTTAAGAACATTAGGACTGTTGCAAAGAGAGACATGCATGCAGTAAAGCAGTTTAAACCCCAACCAGGGTTAATTTATCTTGTGAAGGTCACTGCAGTAATAGAATTACTTTTCATTCTACTTCATGCTTCTGGTTCTGGGAGAGGGAATCAAGATGGGACAATTAGCCTTAATGAGGATACTTAGGATTTTCTCTTTACTAAACAGTTCCCAGATGTGGAGTCAGTGGGTTGCATCAAAGGTGTAGAACACAGAGCGCTTGGCAGCAGCAGCTCTTCAGCTCAATAAAAGTTTGTCCAAGGATATATTACGAATTTGTGTCTTCACTCCGATTTGACAGGGACAAGTCTTGAGTATCAGTCTGTATGTGTCCAAAGAAAGACTATTCTGTAAGATAGTACTGACCTCTGAAGAACTAATATAACACTTTCCACCCTACAGCGGTTTGGAAAAAAACATTAATATCAGGTCAGCTGGTGGAAAATTATGTGTCCCTGATTTCATCACATAATGCTCCTATCAAGAAAATTAAGTACCTTGATGCTCCAGTGTCTCTATATGATTTTACATATGATCCCTTCTCATATATAATTTTGACATCTCTCTGGGAAAGGGTTAGTCTTTTCTGTTTTAATATGTATATAGTGCCTAAAAGGGTCATAATTTTTGTCTGGAACTTCAAGACACTTTGCTGTACAATCACTTAGAACTGTAAATATGATAATAATATGCATATATGCCTGGGAATATTCACTTTGGAGTATGTCTGTTCTTTGTTTAAAGTAGAAATTAATTTCCAAGTACAAGCAAATAGAATTATAGATATAATTTAATTAGTAGTGTTGTAATTTTTTTTTCCAAAAATAAATTACTATGCTATTATTGAGTAAAGAACATATGTAAACATGCATACATATTGTAGAGATTCTTTAAATTTGTGGGTTTTCATATAGGGTAAACACAGAGGTACAGAAAATGTTTTGCTAGAAGGGCTGGAGTTTCTCAGCAATCACATAAAAAGAACTGCAAGAATAAATGCTTCTGTGATAGGATTTCCGAATGGATAATTTCTATGCTGGGTTTCTATACTGGGTTATTTCCACAAATGCACTGAAGTACAATAAGGCCTGATTTTCAGATAAAAAGTGATTGAATGTTAAAAGATGCAGTTCTCAACTTTTTTTTTTTTTTTAAATCTATTTTGAAGAAAATGCTTCATCTTCAAAGAAAAAAATATACCATGTGCATAGTCTTTAAATGTTTGTTACTGAGGCCGGTCTTAAAATGTTAGAATTAGATGCAAGCTATCAAAGAGCAACTAAGTGCTTCTATCTACAAATACAAGAAAACTAAAATAATATGACTGATGGATAATCTGTTGTGCTGGCTATCAGAAATAAAAATGTCGTACTCTCCCAGTCAATAGCTGACTCTAATATTCAATTTGTGTATTGAAATACCAATATTATCTTATAAAAACAGAAAAATAAAACAAACGGATTTTATAAAAAGATGCCTGCTGATATATCCTTTGTTTGTGAATTGGAATATGGTCTATTCTGGTCTTCTCTAAAATCTGATATTATGTGCGTGTGTATGAGTAAACAGATAGCTAAATACTGCTCTGAGTTGATTGTATTTGCTTAAACTGATACAATTCCTATACAAATATTTGACTAGTTCAGTAAATAATTGGGAGGCTACATATCTCTTAATTACTTATTTTTGTCTTTATCACCATTATATTAACTAGCCATTCCAACTATTGTGAAGTACCTAGTCTATGAAATACACTGTCATTACAGTTCTTGGTTTTATCTCCATGGAAACTAACATAAACCAAATGTTCAATGACTATCCCAAAGCTACAGAAAGAAATTGTGTCAAAACTAGAAATGGAATACTGAAGAATGAAATAGCAGAAAAATGGCATTACTGTAGATTAAGATTTTGTCTCATGTTCCCTTGCCCCTGGATTTGAGTTGGATCAGTGTCTTCCAATTCTGAAATCATATGCTGAATGAATCCATACAACAATATATATGCAGTATATTGCTTTGGACTCTGAGCTTCATGTACTTCATGCCATAAAAGTATCAGTCTTCAATGGATGACTGCAATTTATGAATTATTTACATGCTAAGTGTTCGTTCACCATCAGTCACTATCTTAAAAAAGACAAAGGCAGTTCCAATAACTAGTAGTCATGCAACTCATTCTTTTTCTAGCATACATATTTAGCCAGGTGCACTCAAATTCATTGAGTTATTATATAAAAAAATAAGAAAATATAATTTGTCTGTAGCAATGTTAACAGGATAGACATTGTACCATTTGACAAGAAAGATGGAGTAGACAATAATTTGCTTTGGAATATTTGGGATCTTACACAAATGATTTTCAATATATTCTCATTAGGAATTCTTAGGTAAAGCACATGTTTCATGTCCATTGAATATATCTTCTGAAAGAAGAACAATCTTTTCAGCTGTAGAAAAGATGCAAGCAAAGAAAAAATTAAAGTCAAAATAAAGCTGTTATTTCTTGGTTTATGAGTTAGAACAAGTTTCATTCCAGCAAAACTTGTGTCTTAGCACTCTCACAGAACAAGAGTAACAGTGCAATATCTTTATATGACAACAGCTTGAAGTAGTCGGAAACATATCATGATGTCCAATGGGATTGGAGGTTGAATTTCATTTCCATCCAGGCGAAGGTATCTGAGGCGAGGGGTGTTGCCGTAAAAACCATAGTCTTCTGCTATGGCAATTGAGACTGGACATATTTGAGTACCATTGACACCTGAAAATGTAGGTTAACATGTTAGGTAATTTCCATGGGTAAGTTTCATGAATTAAAAATTCATTAGGAAAACAAATAAAACTGGCTTCCACTGATATTTTCATGGTAGATAATTGTTCCTATCAGAGCTAGAAAATGCCAAATTAACAATTAAATTCTTCTCTGATCAAAAAAAAAAATCTTAACATAATACAATCTAGATCAATGAATCACATATTTAATGTGCTACAATTATGAATAAATGCCACTAGATGCATAATTTTACCTTGGAGGGAGGGGAAACTAGACAACTACTGTGTAACCATTCATTGAGAAATAGATCTCTGCTCTCAGAGAGAGCAGAACAAGTTTAATGCTGAGGGATTTTGAACATTTTACTGCAATGACAGTATATTAGTTTTAACTGATAATATTCCCTGTTGAAGACCTTGCATTGAAAATAACTGTATGAACCAGAGGAGCTTTCCATGTAGTGTCTGTAACTTTTAACATCTGGTACTTTCCCCTTCTCTCAAATTCCTCAGTACAGTATGTTTTAATTGCAAGAATATAACTTGTGCAATGGGATATTTTTCTTTCTAATATGAAAGCCAGAAAGTTCTTAAGATTATTTATAAATCAGACATACCATGTCTCAATTCAAGTAAAATTTTAAACCATGGCTTAAATCATTACCCATTTCCATAAGAGGTGAATAGATTGGGTTCTTTACATTGTCTCCCCTGTTACCTCTGCACTGTCTCTTGCGTAAACCACTTTTCATATTTTGCCTTCTGTTGTCGAATAGTGAAGCTGCCACTGCCCTATTTCAGCCTCAGAATGTCCTTATTTGAGAAAACACTGAAGCAGTGTTTGTTTATCAAAGATGTCAAATTCCTTTGACCAAATTATGGTATTTAGTGATTGGCCTGATTGCTTGATGATTTTGTTGGCCTCAGACCACCTGCAAAAAGTGGTTGAATAGAGAATATGTGTATAACAGACATTTTCAGCACAGATTTTTTCAGCAGCCCAGAAATAGGAAAATAAAAGCTTTCTGCCCAAATTTTTCTCCCCTTATATATAGCAATGGTAATATGCACACATCTTTTGATTGCAATCCCCCAAATTATTCCCAACATTATGTTGGGGGAAAAAAAAAAAAAAATCCCAAAAGAGAAAAACCCACCCTATTTTGAAAAACTGCCGAGATGTTTACAACATCTTGGAAACAGACTTTATCTTTGTCATGGAAACTAGATAAATAAATTCATTTGGCCAGGGCCAACTATCCCACTGCACTAGTTTGCACTGGGTTAATTACTCCAGCCTTAAACTGAGGCAGCAGTTATCTAACCACAGACCACCTATGAAGAAGTTATTTCCTGATGATGTGCGGTATGAACTAGTTTGTTTGTTTTATTGTTCTATTCCTGTGAACAGTAAATCCTACCCAAACTATCAGAGGAGTAAAAGCCTCTCTCTCTCTCCTCTTCTCTTGCAATCTTCTTTGGTATATTGCTGAATTTTGCTTAAGCAGGGGGGACAGGGCAATGTACCTACATGGGTACAATTTACCCTACCTAAACTGATCCATGTAGAGAGTAAATGTTAGTCTAAGTAAACCATTTAGACTCTGTTTATAAACTCTGGAGAGAGATGAACACTGCCAAAAGGTGATTCACAGCTCCTTAAAATGGGACAATTTTCCCTCTGCAATCGTGTCTTTTTCCATTGAGTAGGTGGTCCGTATGACTAACCCAAACTAGGTCCAAAAATCTAGGATGGCTAATTCACATATGATGAATTCCACCTGTTGTCAATGGTATTGTTAAGTGGTGTAATATTTAAACATTAGACTCTTGAGCTGCTGTAGGGGAAAGCTGCAAAAGTTTGTCATTAATGGCTAATACTGTGTGTTTGGTGAAGTACCACAGAAGATCTTGTTTCTTTTCCAGTAAGACTCATATTTTAGAAACATTCAGAAAGTAAGTTGATCTACAAGATCGATGTGTTCTGATATATATGAGTGTGAGGGTATTTCTGTTCTATACTTGTAACCTCTAGCTGCAATCCCTGTAGTCCAACATGAACAGTTGGACTCCCTTTCCCCTTTTCACATAATATTTAACTGCAGCAGACATGGATCAGCATGGAAATCTGTACCTTTCTGGGCTCTTTCATCAAAGAAGCCAGTACCAGCTATAGCGCATGGGTCTGACAGTAAGTCAGGATCTGTAACTTCAACCATTTGTTTCCAGATATCCTCTAATGGTTTCTGATAGACTGTAATTGCTACTTGACCCAAAGATTTCTCCCTGTCTCTACATGTGGAATAATGTTAGCTCAGAGGAGCTATCCCAATCTCCTGGTATTTCTCTAGGGAAACTTACTGTTTGCTCTCTTTTATCACTCATTTGATAGCACTGTAATACCACCTGCTTGCTCTTGCTCACTTGGTACATCATTGTTTCATGCCTTCTCTCTTTGCTTCCTCTAGCACTCCCTTTCCCATCATATGACATCTCCCCAGAGCCTCACATGTGTATCTCATAAATAAAAATATAAACATGTGTGTTTAAAATGCCATGGAACAAGTGTGGTGCATATCTGTTGTAGGCATAAATAGTTTTGGTTGTATGTTGATTTTGCTTCCAACTTTCAAGTGCTTTTTTTCCTCTGCGCATTAAGATCCTTGGGGAAGAGACGACAAATGAAACCGTGGTGCCACTGAGACCAGTGACCAGGCTATCATTGGCTTCACTGGGCTTCAGGATATCTTCATAAATGGTCATGAAGGAATAAGGCCTTAGACTTATATAAATAACTGATGCTATACAATAAAGTAAACAAATAGTATTTACAAAGAAATTTTGATGTCTGAGCTCTTGCAGTGCCAGCAGTGTAACTATGAACCACCAAGAGAAAATAAAACAGCAATTAACTGTGTGTAGGGGTATCTGAGAATTAATATTATATTATAAAGAGGGCTTCTACTGTACACATAAAAGTAAACTTTCAGGAGGACTCTTTTGTGGAGAAACCAGATGCAGGCTTTTACAGTTATTTTTCTTTCAAACCTCTTACACTTATTATCTTAAAGTAATTGTTGATCATCAACTTCCTGGGTTTAGGAATACAAAAACAGTCTGCAGAATTAGTGCCACAACTTATTATAATCCTGCCTGATGGAATTGCATTCCTTGTTTGTGATCCTAAACGCCCTTTGAGACATTGTCTGTAGAGCAGTGTCTCATGAAGACTATGTCGTTATCCCTTACCTCTTGAAAAATTATGCTATGTAGTAGAATGTGCCTTACAAAGTACCTGAATTTCATTTCAGGTGTCAGATTGTCTTTTGTAATATTTTTTGACTACTTTATATATAGTTACTAAAATTATAAGAATACTTTGGGGTTTTTTTTAAATTAAAGGCAGTGTTGTGCTTCAGTTAGTAATGAAATTTGAAAAGTGGTAAAAGCATTAAGGAATATAAGGTTTGTAGAAAACTATTGTGATTTAGGCTCATGGGTACCCATGAGTCGCTGGAAAATGGGACTTGAGTTTTCACATACTACACAGGTTGATTTTTATGGTTTTAAACTTTTTAAAGCTTATTTAGGAAAGAAAGATAATTTTGGCACCTCTTTAAATACTACCTAGACACAAAACACTTCTTAAACTGGACAGGTTACATTCCATTGATTTCATTTAGTGTCCACTTAAAGTGACAGGAGGTAAGGTGTACACCTGAGGCCCTGCAGTGAAACAATTAAAATAAAACTGTTCTTAACCAGTGGGCAATGAAATATATTCAGTAAGAATATATGTACTAAGCCCTAACTCTTATCATTAGATTTCTCGCAGGCCACTTAAATATGTGCCAGCTGAATGAAACTGATTTTTCTTTACAAGGTTTAATACATTGTTTTGCAAAATGCAGTGAATTAATCGAACTTATTAATAGACATCTTCCTTTGATATGTCCTTGTTTCATACAGAAGCCAAACCATTCTTTTTAGTATATTTGTGAACTACAGTGATACAAGACGGGATTAAGGAACCATTTATTCAATTAAATCGCCATGACAAGAAAACAAATATAGTGACTTGGTTACCTTCTCTAGAGTGATAAGTAGACAGCCATCACTTTGATTTTGGCTTTTGGCATGAAACAACGGATCTAAGGTCTCTAGAACTTACTGAGCAGATAATTTACCCAGTGTCCCTAACTACCATATCCCTGCTGTACCCGGATGAATCTGGAAGCAGTGCTAGAAGCAGAACTTGCATACAAAACCTTGTCTCATCTATACAAAGTGGAAAAGTTAGAAGACATTTGATGAAATAAACCTTAGTAAGACAAAGGTTCTATAAAGTCAATGGAAAGATTTTTCATGAAGACTAAACCCAAGTGTCAGCATTTTGTGCTGATAAACAAAAGATGGGGAGGATATTCAAGCCTGAAATATTCAATATCTACATTCTAGTTATCTATATTTGAAATGGATTGTGTGACTACAGCCAACATTTTATTCTGTTTTAAGGGTTCCTCACCTTAAGCTCCTACTACATAATTTAAGTAAGACACACTCAGAACAACTGAGTGTGCAGCAATTCTTTTAGTTTAGTGAAGTTCCAAAGGTGCTCAGGGACTTTAAAATCTAATAGTAATACAGATGTGGAGTGAATATCCTAACTTGTTGCACCCACTATTTTATTCTTATTTCTTGCTTATTTACTCCTAGCCTGTCTGTGGGAAACTCAATTTGTTCCCACAAAATGGTTACTTGCATGTATAGCAAAATGTGAATGCACAAATTCTTAATCCACTCATATGTCTGATCTGCTTGCCAAGTGTTTCTGTATGTATATGAACATTTTTCCCATGTGGTATTACTTCCATTCACATATTTGGTTGTCATATTTTAGACCTGACTTGAAAACTGATTGTGGGAGGTCCTCTTGCTCATGTCTCTATAATCTACATCACATTTTTAATAGGATCCCGCACTGACAATACATACTTACTTTTGATTCTGTTGTGATCAAGGTGAAGGTGCTCGAGTTGAGCATTGATTGGTGGAATTTTAGTGAGCTGGTTGTGAGACAGCTGTAGATCCAGAATAGATGAGACATTAAACCCATTTGGGGGAATACCGTCATCAGATAATTTATTATAGTTCAGCCTAAGGAAAGTTACTTTGGGTATTGCACTGAAGTAGTTTTCTGGTATCACTTCAATGGAGTTGTTGTCCAAAAACAGCTGCAGTGTGTTAGCTGGAATGCTTAAAGGCATTTTCTTGAGTGAATTTTTTGCTATGTTGAGCTGCATAAGATTGTTGAGTCCTTGGAAGGTGTCACTTTGAAGAGCGCTGTCCAACAAACTGTTCTGGTGCAGATCTAACATAGTAAGGTTTTCCAAGTTGCTGAAGACTCCTTCTGGGATTCTGGAGATTTTGTTTCTAGCCAGTCTGAGCTGTTCCAGGCCCACTGGTAATGGGGCAGGCACTTCTTCTAATTCGTTATCTTCAAGGAATAAGTAAAGCAGCCTTTTCAGCTTGCTCAGCACACCGCTCTCAATTCCATTGTTGGTAATCTTATTCTTGTTCAGATTTATCCATCTCAGATGAGTGGCATTCACAAAAGGCTTCTCTGAAACTGTTTCAATTAGGTTGTTTTGAAGATAGAGGTACCAAATTCTTGCTGGAATTGCAGGTATTTCTTTAAGTCCTTTGTTATCACAGTATAATGCATTGGGGAAACTAGGAGGACAAAAGCACTCTCGTGGACACTCAGAAGTGTAGTGAGACCAATGCTCAGGATCCAGATCATCATAAACTTGTCTCACAGTTCGAGTCCACACAGAATTGACCAAGAATAAAAGCAAAAGGCTTGTATAGACTTTTAGAGTCATTGTTTGCCTTGGAAGGGGAGAAAAACAATTAGCTGTCTCTTAACAGAACTCTCTAACAGCATACTAGATTAACAAAGCAGTGTTACACAGAATATTTCCTTTATAAACAGCCAGATTCTGTCCTCTGAGGTAGGTATAGGTATAGGTATAGGTATAGGTATAGGTATAGGTATAGGTATAGGTATAGGTATAGGTATAGGTATAGGTATAATATAAGAGGTCTAAAAAATTCAGTGCTATATGTTGAAGACATTTTCCTGATTCAACTGACTCCACATTGGCTACCAGCTTAACTGATGTTCATGCAAGTGTCATTTCAAAAAACCTGAAAACATGGATAATTTTTCTGACATTAAATCAGTGCTTCTTATAAATTTAAGTTTATTATGCAGCGTTATAAACTATATAATGTACCATATTCAGTAAAGCTATCAGTACCATGATGATATAAATACTATTGCACTTTGTGTTCTTTCTTTTAAAATTAATCATGCCCTCTTTTCTGTTTTTTCTCTCTCTTAAATTATAATGGCATCTGGATCAGATTTTCCAGGGTCTTTCTCATCACAGAAAAGTGAAAGATCAAAGAGTGTTTTAACAGCTGTTTGTTGGGCATGTTCTTAAAAAGCTTGGAGGGAGTATGTTTGAGTAATCCGTTCCCCTCCCTCATTCACTGTCTCATATCCAAAGTTATGAATTTCCTTCTCTAAAGCAAACAGCCAAAACAAATGCACATTCTAAATGACACATAAAGTAAGTCCTAGCCAAATTATATACTCATGCATCTTTTATCTATTTTACCTACTTAATTATTTGCTTTGTTTAGCCTCTTCCACCACTGAACAATGAACAAAATCATCAATGATAATTACTACAAAAAGAAATATCTATGTTGCACAAAAACAGTGCTTCACAAACAGTTATCTTGCCTACCTCCTGGTGAAAATTAACATTTTGCAATGCAGAGGCAAGAGACTGAAAGAGGAAAGAGGCTGAAATTTCTGATCAGAATTAGGTTAGTTTCTGAAAAAACAGTATTTCAATAGAAAGAAAATTCTCTCATAAGTTTAATGCACCAGTAAGGTTAAGAACTTAGTTAAGTTGCTGCATATGAGATGTAGTTATTTGATAGTTTTCAACATTGTTATTAGCAGTAACAAGTGCAGTATCCTACAGATCTTCCAGCCTCAAAAACTCTTACTTGGAAGCATTCCAAAAAAAGACAAATAAAATATTTCTAAGAAATAACATCTCTAATTTACACAGTGAAATGGTACCTTCTCACTGTGTAAATATTCATAACCTTAATAACATTCTTAAAAAGAAATAAAGTAATTTACCTTGTTAGTCAAGTTCCTGGAGTTATCTGAAGCCAGTTAGAAATCACTGTAAATCCACAGCCTTTGGCTGCTAACCACTGTGTTTTCTTCCTGTCCTCCTAAGAATTAATAGCATATAAAATTTGAAGTTCATGCTAGTATTCCCAGATGTATTACCATACACACCTTATTAGCTGTTGTTTCTAATTTGACATTGCTTCAGATTTGGGCTTACCTCAGCTTTCTTGGATCTTCTTCTCTTTCTATTGGTCACTCTTGATAGACTGTAATAGCTTGAGTCAGGCTACAAGCCGTGTTCTATGAATACAGCCTAATATATACGCATCAGTGACTACAGCTTTTAACCCCTAAAATAACTAAGGCACCCCAGCACCTAGGCAGGAAAAGACAGGAAATTCTGACTTTAATATCAAGCAGCCACAGAGCTGAAGGCATTTGATTTTTACATTTTAGCAGATGAGAGGAACTGGTCTAGATGAAACAGGTAACACAATATGTATTTTATTCAATTTTTTTTCTCAGAAGACACTTTGCATGCAAAGTTCACTTACATCATTATTCATTCTCATAATACCTGAACTGGCCACGAAGAATTAAGAACAGTGCCATCTGTTTCTACGGAAATATTTGATTTGATTTTTATCAAATGCAGATGCTGCCATGCCTTTTAAAGACATAATTCTTGATTAAGAGAAGAAGATAACTAAAGCATTTGCTAAGAATTTTTTAATAACATATTTGCATTTCTTTAAAGATTAAACCACACCTTTTCCTTTTTGTTCAGAGATATCTTTACATATACTTCTACAAATTTATTATACTCTCCAGTGCCTCCTGCAGTGAGGTCTGGTTTTAATTATCAAGGCACCAAGTAATTATTTTATCATTTGTCTAAAGCAAACTCTTTCCAGCCAGCTTGTTATCCAAGCCATAGACACATATTTCTCACATTAAGTATTTTGGAGGATTTTTGTTTTCTTTTTAGTTCAAACTTAAAGTAACAACTTAATATCAAGAAAACTAGCCATGTTCAAAGCCAGAACAATGGCATAAGTGTTTTAAGGAAAAAGCTAATGAAATTACTGAAAACATAAAATATATCCTGGTACCTTTTATGAGTTTATATTATTTTAAAACTTATATAATTAACTTAATTCAGTTTAATCTAATTTAACACTAAAACCTCTAACAGTTTATTTCATAATGTTTAATACTTTGATTCCGAAACTAAGAATATCTCAAGAGAAGTTTAGAAGTAGACAAAAAGATACATAACAAAAAAAAAAAGGAAATAAACCCTTAAGTACATGGGCAGCTTCCACTAACTTCATCAAGGCTAATGTTAAAAACATGATCAAATTATTTTCATAAGTATATGTTTGTACTACATTCTTTTTTGTTTAGGAAAAAATACATCCTTACTACCAGTAATTTTTACATGGATTAAGCATCTGCTTAAGTGTTTCACTCTGCTAGAACTCCATAACATTCACCATCTCTTAGAGATTATTAGGGCTTTCTTATAAGCCAGGTATAAAATTAATTCCTTCATGCATACTATGCTGAGTATTTCAAAAGTTTAAATTAGATTAAATTAATTAGCATCTATATCAAAAAATAAAGGTTCTAGCTTTAAGCAAAGGTACTAATTATAAGCACAAAAATTAGAGGTAATGTATTAACCTTTTCACTATGAGTGTCACTTTAAACACCTAGACCTTAAAATGTTTCCTTTGACCTCCCGCAGCAGACGTGGTACCACACATAAATGACAAGGAGGCTTGTCAGCTCAAGTCCACGGAAGAGAGGTAGGGAGAGGCAGAGGCATCACTGTATGAAGGTTAAAATAGTTGTGTGTTCAGTTGTGAGTGATTTAAGGAGGCTTCACCATGAAAAGTGCATCTATGATTCTTGTAAAAGCCAGGCAGTGCAATGTAAAACTGGTTTGCATTTGTGCTAAATCTTCACACAGAGTGTAGAGAGGATATGGAGGCACTGAGGTCTTAAAGAATGAGCCGAGACCTTCATAAATGTTATACTGAAGAGTTTAAAATAGCGAGTCCTGGTGGCATATATTTGTTGTGACACACTTAAATGCAAGTTGTCAGATGTTGCAAATTTAACAAAAAAAAGAAAGACTGATTTATCTTATGCTTTACGGGGATCTGAATTTACCCTTTAACCTGCTAATTATGTACAGATGTTCATTATGTTATTGCAGAAGTCACTGGCAGAGGGACTTGCTGGTTACCTTGTGACAGGCAGTGGGACTATTTGTATGAACTACTGTTCAGCAGCAGAAAGGCAGGTCACAGTCTGCCCTTTGTGGATTTAGAGGCCAGGTATCTGGTCCTTATCAAACACATATGCTGCCATCCCATTCAAAGAAGCAGTTTTCACTAATAGAAAATAACAGCAAAAACATTTGCTTTCTCAACACCATGAATTTTCATTTCCACTGATACAAAAAGCAGGAAAAAAGTTACAAGAAATGTCCTCAAAATTAGGAATGAAAGAGTATGATAACTGTAATATGTATTCTCAACCACACTCAAAAATTTTGGAAAGATCTCTGCATGAAGAAGTGACTGCTTGGGAGCCCAAGCAGACTTTGAAGAAAGGCCTGCTTTCCATGAAACCTTTAAGATTACATATATATTCTCCATCATGCATTTGTTTTGTTCAGCCCTCGATCATATGGTCTTACTATTTATTATTTAAAGGGTGTAATATATGGTGATAAAGTTTTACAGACTAATAAAAGACCACAGCCAAGATTTTAGAAAATGACTAATGGTTTGGGAGACGCCTTATTTTGAGTATCCAACCTGAGACCTTTCCAGCCTTATTTTCAAGAAGAGGGGGCTAAGAATTCTGTGTTAATGAGGTAATTTTGAACTTGTGAAGCTGAGCAATCAAAGGCAAATATCACTGAAGCAATACCTGCTCCTGAGATCATGAATAATCTCCCCAAAAGTAACAGTATGCAAGGTATTTGCATGACAATAAAAAGAATTGGAAAAATTATTACAGTAAAAATACTGTGAATGCCCAACTGGTGAATTTTAGAGACCTTTTAAAAGATACTGTTGGGAGTATTCTAGTTTGAGGAAGATGTCTCAAGCTATTACAGGATTTTTGCTCCATATGTCTCTTGGCAATCCACACTGATAACCAATGCAATAAGAGAATCTGTATTAAGAAAAAAAAAAAAAAAAAAAAAAAAGTGAGGAGCACCAACAGTCACAGAAGGTGGTAACATCTCCTTGGCAGAGTGATATACATGCTTCAGACTAGAACAGCCCACAAGCTTGATAAAGACTAGAAGGGCTAAAAAGATAGACTAGAAAGATCCATTGGGAGGACGTATGGACAACTGGGAGTGCTGTAAAAGCTGTTGTTCTGTTTCAGCATCAAAGTTGCTGACAGTGAAAAAAATCCATTGCTTTATTTCAGTAATGGCTGCCACATGTCTCAGATTTAATATGAAGCAAGGTCTGTTAAACATCAAGCATGTGTATACTTCATCACCAGCGAACTCAGGAGCATACTGAAAGCAAAGCTAATTCACCAGCTCTGTGGATTGTTCCATTTAGCAAAGGCTGCAATCCAATGTGTTTAATTTGGGTATTCCTTTACTAAAATGTTAGGTGTCTTGCTCCAAAGAAAAATGAATTTATCTGAAACATGCTTTTAAATTCCCTTCATGATGACTAGACAAGAGGTGATGCTTCAAAACCTGGAGAAGCGAGTAAGAGCACTTTAGGTACCCTTTACCATATACTCTAGTGGTAGCTCCAAACAGCCATGCAGGCCACTTAAGGCAGGTGTTTAGATTTAGTCAGGCTTCAGTGTGCCTCTTTCATTTCTGAAGTTAGGCATGTAGTGGTGATCTCTCTCTTTTTTTGCATTGCTGCTTGAAATAGATAGTAGGAAGCTGAGTTTTAATCAGAGTCAGAAAGACAAAGCTTCTATTTCCAAACAGTTCCCTGACCACCAGACAATGATAGATCCCAATTAATAATATCTGCTACTCCTTTTAAAAAGAAGCCACAAAAGGTTGGCAAGACCGAAGAGTCTAAAAGAAAACAGATGAGTGAACCTTTGAGTCTAGCCCAAGGGACAGTGCAGGCAGATCAAAGTGGCCAGCACAGATGTTCCCGATCCTGCTCCTACAGACGCTTTTACTCTACATCATTCCTGGTGAAAAAACAAACCCAAACCAATCAGGAGCAGAGACTCTGAACCTCTCCTAGAAGCCTAGAATTGCCTGCCTAAACTTCTCAGTGGGAGAAATTTAATATTTTATTTAAATATGCATTTCTGTGCATATGAAGGCAGCTAAAGGATAGGGAGTTTACCTGGGGAGCTTTCAGGTTAGATTAGGAGACAACATTTAAAAGAACTCTGGAAAACAGTTGGGCTGTCTTAATTTTTGGAATGTAAATGTCACCTGACCCCTTGTTTATATAGGATTTAGGAAGATGAGATCTTATTCTAGAAGTCCAGAACCAAAATTCTAGCAGTTTACTTTCTGTACACCTTCACTCCCTTGTAAAAACCACAGTGAGAACTGAATAGCTCAACTTAAAGGGATCCTTGCAGACCAACACATTTCAGAACAGAATAACTATGGAAAAGGGCTCAGCTTTTATGAGAAACATAGTGCTCTCCTGCATATGCTTCATTAAAGAATTTTTTGGCTCTCTGTTTCCTTTCTCTATGTGGAGCTCTTTACTATAGTGACACCATAAAGGTTCCACGACACAATGCCAAGATCTGGTATTTATCTTGGCTAGCTAGGTTTAGTTTACTTACTGTGTAAATGTGGCTGTCAGTCTCTTAATTTGTTTTCATGCTTTCAACAGTTTCATCAGTGAAACAAATCTATCAATTTTACTATATGTACAATCATATATGTTAAATGTATCTTAAAATAAAAATCTAACATGCATTTATCAATCACACATATACATTGAGTTCTTAGGCCTGCATGTGGCTATTTAGATGATTAATATTTTCCAGGAACATGATGGTAAATTAAAACATGATTTCGTCATCTAATGCCTATTCTGTAAATCTGCAGTTTTAAAAAGTAAACCATCATGGTTTGAATATTCTAAGATAGCATCAAGACAGTGAAAACAGGCTATGAGATGTTAGTGTTACTTTTGTTCTCTTATTCTATTTTGCTGTTAAAGAAGTCCAAAAATATTTGAATTCTTCATTTTAGATTCCCACAATAAGATGATGAATTCTGAGAAGCTTAGACTTATAGAAAAATCTGTCCTCTAAAATAAATGACAAGGGTTTCATAAGAGGTTATTCCTACAACTTAATAAAAAAAAAAAAAAATTAGTACCCTTATAATAAAGCTCTGCTATAGTGCTTCTGCCAGATGAGAAATT